AGCAATTTGGTAGACAAAAGCGATATCGACAAGACCATGATTGACAGGCTCAACCGACCTGTACCTGGTCAGCCTGGCGCACGACGAGATGTCAGCCGCTAAGGAGATTGCATGGTGAGAGTTGACGCTGCCGGACACGTCAACGGAATGACAACGCTTACCGAAGAGTCTGTTGGTTTCCGCTGGAAGGCTGCCGACAAGTTGATGACGAATGCATTGTTTTTAATACCCTTTCCGAATCAACTACACGTCCACATTTTCGTTGACCGGGAAGTGATAGGAGCGTGGCTCAAGTGAGGAGGAAAAAGAAAAACAGCGGGCGGGGGGATCGCGATAACAAATACAGGACAAGTTGTCAGGATCTAGAAAAAGACGCGAGTTTGGCGACAAACAACCCCTCCGTTCGGTTCTCAAGGTTTATTGGACGTTTTGTTATACGGCACTTGATTTTATGTGAATTGTCCTTGACAGACTGTTCGTTTCTCGGAGGGGGGGAAGGATTTTGCCCGAAAAGCAACTACTGCAAAGTCGTTGTATTATTTTTAATCGGTCGGCCACTATGTGTTTCCAGGAAAGACGGATAGCCTCACGGCACCATACGGTTTGGTTTTATTTATGCTGATGCTTTGTCACGTTTGTACATCTGTGTTGTTTATGTTGTCTGTTCTGCTATTGTTGCCATCTGGGTAGAGAGAACGAGAGCCGTAGCGATATGGTCTCGGGTGATGTTTAAGGGTGTTCTGGAGAACGGAGGAAAGAGAAAAGCCAGATCCTATCAAAAGGTACTGGAGGAGAAGATGACAAGCAAAACAGAGTGAGAGAGCTCAGGGCTCTGAGAGGAGGATGATAGCAAATGCTGTGGGGTTGATTCTGAAGATTCCTTTAACTCTTGTTGTTCTTTTGCCTACGTACTTGAGTACTGATCCCGATGGTCAAATCCAATAGGGTGATGACCATGTATAAACAGAATTATATGTTGTGATTTTGATCGAGATGTGTAGGTGATGTGATGAGGTTTTTCAGTTCAAGGTCACTTTATGCTGAGAAGACATCTGCGTGCCTGTATAGTCCCATACCGTCTCGTCGAGCACATCTCTCTCTGTCTCTCTCGGGACTGGGACTCGGTGGTTAGGCTCTTGCTTCCGCTGTGCCCAGCTAATGATTGGTTTGTCACAGGCGCAAGTCCAGGCGGAGAGGGGCAAACGAGCCAATGAGTGGCTCTAAATTCAAAGGACCTACCAGCAGGTGGTGTTGGAGTTGGCACTGGCTGTAGGTACTGAATGGGTTTATGTGATGCACTAAAACCACCAACCTTTATTTACTTGGTAGACACATAGCCCATTGATTTCCCAACTGGGGGCCAGAGCATGGAATCCGTGGTTGATTATCACCGTATTATACTGAGCTAAAGAGTAAGCGGAGATGCACAAAACTGGAGAGGGGACGAGGAGGCAAGAGGACAGAAAGAGAGAACGGCTCAGGCCAAATCAAGTCAAGTCAAGCCAAGCCAAGCCAACAAGCAGGGACAAAAGACTAGAGCTCACAACTAGAAATGCCCAAGTTAGGATTTAGGCAGGCCAGAGGCCAGGCAGGGAACAGGCCTCTCCGAGGGGGGTTTCTACAGCATGGACTGAACACAACGATCTTGTTAGGGGAGTGGGCAAGCAACGGATGCATGGTCATCGAGTGTCACCCGAAGACTCCCGGCGGATACGCGGCAGATACCGTTGAGATTTACCAGGGTATCCAGTGGGAAGGAGTAGGTACAGCAATAAGGCAGAAGGATTTGAATTTTGATGATGATATAGATTCGCACGGCATGGGCATCTATTCACCTAGGTGGTAAGTATGTATGTACCTGAGACTGAGAGTTTGGGGGATGGAAGCGGGAGAGGCGTTGACAGTAGCAAGGTTTTGGGGACTGGAGGGGCATTACAGCACGGTTGGATCAGACGCCAGGCTCGCCCGAGGGACAGAAACGGCGTTTGACTTTGTCCGATTGACGGTTGATCAAGAGAGGAGCAGAAGAAGGAGAGGGAAGGGCCTCGCGGGGGATGGGATGGAATGGAATGGCGGGGGGCGGACTAGACTACACAGGCGGCTCTTTGTTTGCTATGGAGACAGACAGACAGACCATCAGCAGTAGTCTAGCTATATTGGTCTGGTTTACGAAGAGCGGTGGGATAAGAGCGTAGATGCATGTAGGCGAGAGAATGGAGTATGCTCAGAGAGGGGTAGGCAGAGCAGAGAGAGTACTGAGAGAGAGACAGAGAAAGAGAAAGAGAAAGAGAAAAAGAGAGAAGACAATCACAGAGTCAATCCACATGGTTAGAGATGATATTGACCGCTATCTAGACAATAAGAGTAAGAGACGGGGCTCAGTCATCAAGTGCATCTTGAAATGCAGCCTTGCGGCATACATGCATGCATACCTACAGTACAGTGTGGTCCAGTGCAGTAGTGGACTGACCATTGCTGGCTGATGCAACGGGCAGTGGGATTAGTTACAGTAGGCTCTGGAGAAGAGAGTAGAGAGGCTACCTTGAGGCAGGCTAAGTACAGACTGCACAGGCTAGAGGCTAGAGAGGAGGCTTTTTGCGGCTGTCTATCAAACCGTTGACTTTTAGCGTTGATCACCCAATTCGAGTCAAGTCCAAGGGTGTATAATGTCTCATTAGTAGCTGATTGTGCTGGGTGAGCCCTGAGCGTGTGTGTGCCTTGTCAAGGGGGGATGGGAGGGGGGAGGAAGAGGAAGAGGAAGAGGAGGGCGAGAAATATTGAGAGACATTACTATACCCCTCCCTCCCTCCATCGGACTATTCCCACCGCCCCAGACCCTCTCGGCCAGGACATACCCTGTCAATCCATTTTCTTGTGTTTGAAAAATAAGTTGAGGGTTTCCATATGGAATGTTGGTCTGAGCACTCTCAGTTCACCCACTCACTCACTACCTGTGAGGACGGGAAGAGCACATGACCTTTGGCTGATGTGGTCAGCAAGACATGGGCAGTTTTAGTGAATTGATTTGTTGGTCTGAGCTCTGAAGTCTTGTTTGTTGGTGATGTAACTGTTGTGCTAGCAACACGAGGCTACAGAGGGACTAAGAGCCACGAGACGAGACGAGATCAGACTCTGGCCTCAGGTACGAGCCGTAGACTTGATAGATTAGCGGACGATTATAGCCGTGACACCGGTTTCCAATGGTCCAAGCGGTGGGCTACTAATAAACTACGTATGCATGTTACTCTACTTGATATTGAAAAGTCTGAGCTCAAACGCGTCTAAGAATAAAACGAAACATTCATCTTGTCAGCCAAACTGACGATTCCCATGAATCGTGACAGATGGCATGGCGTTTGCAGTCTTGCTGAATAAACGCGGCATTTTCGCCTTTCTCTAGTATTGAAAGATTGATATTACAGTGGATAGAGCCAGGGGTAGTAATGACATCCCTTCTGCCGTGGTGCATCACAATTCCAGGGACCCGGTTCGCAACGTTCTCTGCCCAGGCACTCACTGGAAATTCGCTCCAACGGCAGGGGATTAGGGCCAGGGCAGGGCTTGCCGAAAGAGCATGCATACGGGTTGGGATACCTAGTGAGGAATACGGACGGATCAGGATCTGGATCTGGACATGAATAGGGGATTAGAATAGACACTGTAGCTAAGCAAGGGGTGCGAGGAGGAGAAGGAGGGGCTATTGACCGACACCGCGATCAAGAGGGGGACAAACTTGAGGGGCGTGTGAGTGAGTGAGTGGATGAGGACTGAATGACTGGCAGACAGACTGAGAAGCGGTGATCTGATGAGGCGGCAAGGTTTTGCTTGGACTGTGCTTGGCCCTTAGGCGTAGTCCCCAAGACAAGACTGACTGGACGTGGACGCTCGTGGGAACTGGAGAAGAAGGGAGCAAAAGTGGAAATGAGTCAAGCGAGTTCGGCCAAGGGAATAGCCGTAGACTGTAGATGTACTAAAAAGGGGGGCGTGTAAGTCAGTCATTGTCTGTCTTAATTAGTCTCGAAGAAGAGAAGCCTCGCAAGCCGTTGGTGATATGATTGTGATAGCGATTGTGATTGTGACTGCGAGAGACTAATAAACATAGAAAGCGGGGAGGAAAGATATTGGTAATGCAAACAGTAAAGATCAAGCGACAAGAGAGTCTAGAGCTGATGCTGATGCTGATGCTGTAGTCTACATCCTGGCTGAGCTGACTTGGGCTACTACCCATTGCCACCGAGACACGAGTTCTGATACGAGAAGGAAAAGGTTGAGTTGTGTCTAAAACTGACTGTTATGTGATCAAGCTGTGATAAGACAGACGTTGCCTGCCACTGTCAAAACGTGATTATGAGGCTATTTCCGTCGAGTCCGCCGCCATAAGGTTAATGGCACCCTAAGGAGACTCCCCTAAAAGCTGGGGAATGCCGTCTTGAAAAAAGTATTCGTCGAGTTGATGTTGATAAAGTTTCCGTGTCGCACGTTGTGTCGAAGTTTCAGAGTCAATGATGAGTCCATCTGTCTGTCTCTAACGGAAGGATTGTGATAATCAAAAGGGCAGGCAACTTGAGTGGCATTTGACTCAGGCATGAACTAAATCTCCGAAATCCATGATGAACTGATGTAGAAAGTAACAGGCATGTCGCTTAAATGCCTGTGTAAAAACAAATATCCATTCTTGAAATGCTTGCACGCAATGGAATGCGGGTGGCCTCACAAAATGCAATCAGAGACAGGAAAAAAAGGGGCTACTGAGATGAAGCTATACTACATGCCAAACCACGAGATTGCAGCGGACCAAAACCGCTATGGACCGTCCCGACGGAACGAGGCGATTCTCTGAGACACCAGAAGAATGGAGGGAGAGGGAGAAATGCTTTTGGTCGCAATACGAGTATCGTGTCTAAGACATCAATCTACTCTGATCATCAGGCACTCGGGCGAAGATCGTGATGAAGAAGTTGCAGGGTTGTCTACATCAGCAGGAATGCAAATCAAGGGACATGGCGATATCTCTTGTCTCTCGGAGAAGTGGCTTTCAGCTGGGTAAGGTATGGAAACGCTACCTCGGAGCTACAGCTACAGCTACAGCAGGCAGAATTTACCAGTTACGTTTCTACCTGACGATAATCTCTCCTTGGTGTTTTGTGCCTCGCCACCACCAACAACTTCTGATCAACAACTCTACTTCGTACACGCCCATACCCGACACTCTGGATTGGGAAAACCAAACTCGGTTTAAGCTTCTTCCACGCATAGAGTTAAAGCAGAAGAAGAAGAGAAAACTCTTCGTTTTCAGCTGTCCACAGTGCAACTTTGCCTCCCGCGAACCAGGAAACCCGGATCGCCTCCCAGCTCGCGTAGTCATCCCAGCTTGTCGGGACCGGGAGGCAGAAGTAGAGAGAAAGGGGCGCATGCGGACGTTTCTGTACTACGTGGAGGGCGAGATCTGGCCGAAAACGAATCTTCGTAAAGAGCGGTCGAGGGGCACTGGAATGCAAATGACGTCCTTTCCAAACCGAGACCAAGAACCAAAGGGTCCGGATGCGCACGGGAACAGCTTCGGAGGTTCCGTGAGCGGCCTCGGCGATCCAAACTGACGGGAGCTGAAGACACTTACCGATATCGTACTCCGTAAGCAGTCGTGACTCTGCCTGACTTCCTTTTGAGTTCGGCGACGGTGATGGTGACGGAGAAGGGAAGGAGTTTACCGACCTCGACTTCCCGCTTCCGGACGACGGGACGTCACGGGATAACGGACGGGTCCATATTACAAACGGGAAGGATCGAACTCTACTGCTTCAGTTATCTTTGGAAACTTGGAAGAGGCAACAGCAGTGCAAGTGCAGCTGAAAGATGAACCCCACGGCAAACTCCGTTCTGGGCCTTTGATTTCTATTTCCATCATCAGCATCATCATCATCATCATCATCACCGCCGCCGCCGCCGAAGACTCGCCCTATCAGCAACTCCGGCGATGCCGTCTTCCATCACGAGGCGAACAGGGACCCTCTACTTTCTATATCCGGCCGAGGGAGAATCATATCAGCCGGGATGTTGTGGAGATGAAGAGCGGTAAAGGGCTCGAGAGCCATTCTGTATCGTCTGGAACCACCGACGCCACGGGCTGGTCTTGACGTTTATGGATATCCAACCGTCTGGAACGGGAACAGCCTTCTCTGGCAAGAGGAACGAGACGAGGGAGAGGAGTTTCCTGAATCTCCGCGTGACTTACTCGATTCTTTCAGCGTGTGAATCAAGACCAGAGTGCTTGCGCCTGGAATCGCCAACCTAGGACTTCCTTGCTCCCGAGCACGAATCAACAATTGACACTTTGCTGCCAGTTCCGTCAAGACACGGCAGGTCGCCTTGAGAGAGGACGATGCAGGGGCTTTGATCAGACATGCCCACTAGGCAACGATGATCAAGTCCAACTGGACATTGAAACAAAAACCATTTGTTTTCTATTGCTACCATCTTCAAGATTTCTGCTGACCAGAATTTTATCGTCATACCGTAACGATAGGAGACACTAAGCCCAAGTCCCCCTTCGAAGAATGGATCAACCCATCACCAGCGGGGAAGCTCACCTCTGCTTGGCTTGCTAAAGGGACCAAACAGTTTTGGCTATGGCAGTCAAGCTATTCGGATGTTTGATAAACCAAACTCAGACTCGATCCCAGAAACCAACTCGGCGGCGAACGATTATACAAGGAAACAAAGGGAAAGAAAGAAATAGTGCTTTTGCCCACGATCTGAGAAATACAAGACTGCTGAGTTGTGGTGTCCTTGCTGGGTTCTAGCTCGTGTTATTTCCAGTCGGATATTAACTGGAAAGACCAGAGGCTATAATCTGTAACCAGCACCAGACTTTGGTTAGCGTTCCCCTGCATTGAGTAATGCACCAAGAGTCCCTGCATTTTGACTATTCGGAATCCTCTCCTGCCGACTGTATTTACACGGCTTTGAGGAAAGCCAGCAAGTGCTGAATTGCTCGTGATTGTCGGCTCGCTGTTTTGGTCTAGTTTAGACATGATATGCTTGCAGACAAGAGTCCTAGGTTGCATCCTGCCATTAGCTCCTAGAGATCATGCCTTGCGGGGATTACTAGACATTACCAAGTTGCTGCTGCATATGTTCACAGTTGAAGCTAGTCAAGGGCAAGATGGTATCAAAAGTCTCGATGACTTTACTGTTGATACAAGTTAAGCAACAGTACTTTGATAAGCACGGGCCCTATACTTGCTGCCGGCCTTTCTTCTCAGCAGTTCTATCACGGCTTCTGTGGTTCATCAATGGGCTTGCTGGTTGTCACTTTGCAATTTGCGAATTCTCATCGAGACATGCAACCGATAAGAACCTTCCAGCAAGGCTGGTCGTTATATACCACCATCCGTTGAACGCTCTACTGTTTAACATCTTTGGAAAGCGTTTGTCAACCAAAAGCCTCTATACCTTTGTTTGATTCTTCTGGCTCGTTCCTTGCTCCTTGCCCGTCGGCCAAATTCTCTACAGGGCTTCAGATCAACCATTTGGTACCCTGTAACTTGCTTTCCTCAGGTCTTCGCATCGGTTGCTGATACTCGACCTCGGAGCTTACCTTTCTCTCGATCCATTGCCCATGTCTACAGCTATTCTGGTTTCCACTTTCGTACGTCTCGCTTGGGCGACACTCGCCGCCTTAAGGGGACTAATGCGGCCGGGCCGGAGACCCGGAGACACAACAGCACGCTCCACACTGTGTGAGGGAGAAACAAGACGCCTGGCCCTTTTCTCTTCAATTAGAAACCGGTCAGAGTCCATCTCATTTCGAACGAGGTTGGTGGCTGAGTAGCGTTGAGTGATTTCGGTATCTGGACCCATGAGGCATCGCGGCATATCATGATGGGGTTTGTTGGCTGAAGAAAAGGGACGGGTAGGCCCGCGCGGGTAAAGAAGGGATGGAACCAACACACGACAGGGGTGGCTTTTAGGGCGTCATGCAAGACAAGATGGGGCAAGGGTGCACTTAACTTTGGCTCTAGAGAGACCGTCTGGAGACCGTCTATGGGCTTGGTGTTACGATTCCACCGTCGTCAAGATCGAGACTCAAGGTGGATGAACCTATTTGGCATATCCCTCAAGTTCCCGCATCAACGCAAGCTAAAGTGGTTATCGCTTTGGCTTCTGGTTTGGCCGCCCAGCCTCCCCGTGGCTGGGCTGGATACGATGGGCCCGAAAAGACCCTCAAAATAGAAACGAGTCAAGAGAACAGACTCCCTTACAGACCATAAGGCTCGTAGTGAGTCATTAGCTCATCAGTAACCTAGAGATAGCCTCTTGGTCTATTTGACTCTGTCGGAAATCCCGATTCATGGCAAGCCCGTGGCGTGTCGCTCATGAGTAGTTTGGTCAATTCTTCCGTGAGGGTCTCGACCGAGATGGAGATTCGCGACGTTCCCGATGATTACATACTCCATCTAAAATGGGGAGGTATTGAATAGCCAGTCATGAGGCATAGATGGCAAGATCGAATCGATAGTGTGAGAAGGGGGCGATGAACTTCAGCTGAAGACTACACAGCTCGTTATATCTAGTCTATCTGACACGATCTCGACTAGTGACGAAATATTCTCATCTTGTGGGTGAGTGACATTTTCTGTGCGAACGCTACAAGGGATATAATAGTCTGGTGTGTTGAGAGGCCGTCGACATGCTTTGAACGAACACGGTGGGCCATCGCAGCCGAAAGTGAAGCCCCTTTGCCTTGAACGGCCTCCGGGTGAATGGTACTCTGGTACCTGGCTCTTCGCTCGCAGTTACGTTCTACGCCTGCTGAAGACGAAATTACCCAGAGGTGTTTAAGGATTGAAAAAGGTGTCGACTGACTCTGGGGGTTAAGTAAACATAAGAAAGGTGTCTTTCGAGAAAGGAATTGTGAGCATATCACGAAAGGTTGGCCTGTATACATCGGTATCATGCTTGGAGTTGTGTAAAAGTTGGCCATGAGCTATTAGAACAAGATTGTATATGAAATATGGTGGCTGTCGTTAAAGAACAAGGCAAAGGCTCTATGCTAAAGAGGAGATTTGGACCCTATGGATTAGAAGATCTCTCGATAGCTCGGAGCTCAATTGATCTGTTGCTGGAGTCTTGTTTGAACTACCATGCCCTCAAGGCTGGCGTCAGTCCTCAGCTTGAAACAGTGATTGAGACGGCGGTACTGAAGCACAACTCTCGATACGCAATAATCTTGGGATCTCACTCAATGGGCGATAAACGCACTTGTTGCTTGGGGGCAGGCCGTAGAATGCGAAAGAGAGTGTCGATAAGTGGCATGGACTCTGATTACCAGAGTGTCTGTATGATCTATTGTGTGTTCAGAGAGGAACTTGGGGATAACATTGAGATTCACGCGTAAGTTTCAGTGCCGTCAGCCAAAGACTAGTTGCTATTGAGGCAGCGTACAGCGGGTAGACTCTAATGATAAGAGAATGGGATACGGGTTAGGGAGCCAAACTCGGAAACATGAGCGAAATATGTAATGGCTATATATTATGTTTATGTTTTATGCTCATCAAGTCGTTTCTTCGTTATATTTTCCAGGCGCCTAGTCCAATAGACGCAAGTTGATGCAATGCTTCTTCTAATGTAATGTCTTTGCCGATGTGCATGTGTATATGTAACTGGTAGCAAGGTGTTGCAAAGTGGATGGTGGTTCGGTGAGAGCATCGATGCATAGTTTCGCTGAAGTTTTGATGATACCATCAAGGGCTTGGGCTTCCTCCACGGCTTGTGTTCTCAACGCAGACCTCTTCGCGCACTGCGACATTTCCGTCGCGGGCATCGCGTTCATAGACAAAGCATCTTTCAGCGTAAATGCCCATCTCGTTCCTTCTTCGCCATACATCACCCAATCGCCGCACCATGACTCGCTTCCAACCTCCGACATTGAGTACGATATGTTTCCAAGGCGTATGAGAGCCGAGTCTCTCCTTCTCCTGCACAAGTAGTTTGAAGGTTTGCATCGCAGCCTCTCGATCACGGTCGACTCCTGGAGACACCTCTTCTAGAGGGTGGATTATGGTTTGGACGTGTAAGGTCAGCGTATGCACAGCTGGGAAGACACATATTGCCCTGAGAAAGGTAGTAGGATCGCATAGTCTGGTGTCTAGGTCAAGTTCAAGAGTGTGAACACACTTTAGCTGTTGACCCAGTTGAGCCAAGTCAACAGGTGCCAGGGTTGGGCATTTCTGGTCATCTTCTGAGAACCCAACGTGGTCCCTCAGCCGTAGCACCTGTAGCGACCTTTGATGTGCTGCAATAGATTCAAGCTGGAGCAATCGGGTATGGCAAGTCATGTTCAGGATCTCGAGTGCCTCGATATGATCTTTCACCAACAAGTTCAACCCAATGGTGGCATCTTCTCTCTTGTCAGACAGATGGGCACTGTAGTCTTCCACATGGAGTGTATGCAACGCCGAGAAGTCTCGGAAAGGCACTGAGCGAAGGAAGTTGAAGATGGGCACAGAAATCAACTCGAGCGACTGTATCTTGGAGAAATCCCAATGTTTCTGGACATCCTCAGCTGTGTGGCTCCAGTCGTATGACCGTAGCATCAAGTTGACGATGGGTGGCATTCGTTCTCCAGGAGAGAACTTGAAGCACGTGCCTTGCCCTCGATCTTCATAGCGTAGTGCTTTTAGCTGTCGAGATTGGACCAAAAGCTGCTTTAACGAGTTGAGCCTCGTTGATAGCACCGGCATCGGATTGGCGAGTTTCAATGACGCCAACAGCTCCGAGGGAATCGATCTCGTAAAAGTTTCCAATGGATTGCCGTTGTAGTCTCGTCGCAGGGGGAGGTCCTCGATGTACAGTCGGGTGCTATTCGAGTTGCAATTATGCAGGCGACGGAGCTCCGAGGGTGACCACAGACCCTCTGCAGGAATGTCGCCATCTATGTATTGCCATCTGTTGTCAAACTATCAGCAAGAGAACGAGGATATCGAGAATGGGTGCCAGTACCGAACCGACTTTAATCGCTTGATGCAAGATAATATTCCAGTGATTCTTGTGGGGTCCAAGTTGCTTCGTATTGTGACATGATTTGTGAGATGTGAGATGTGCCGAGAGACGTTAGGATAGCGTTGTTCAGCATCTGGTGCGACGAGAGATTTGTTCAAGGTTAGGAATCGGTAGGCGATCGGCGTAGCTATGGCATCGAACCTCTTAGAGACTAGACGCACAGACGTGAGCGTTGGTGAGTCTATCTCACGAAGCTAATGTAGCATTTAGTATCATATACTATCGGTAAAATTGGTTGTATTGTTGTGATATACCTGTTCGAACACAAGAGCCAGAAGTTCCGAGCTCAGGTGATTCAAAGATAGAACTGGCAAAGTCGGGGCCTTGTGCGAAGTGTCCATGCAATAAGATGATTCCGATGACCTGAATGAAAGGCAGGGCCGAGCTGGTGGTACAGAGTACGATAGCGTGATGGAGGGTGCGGGAACCAATAGTTCGGTAACAGATAGCATGGTAAGATGCCAGGCTCCGAGCAGATGGGGTCAAAGAATATGTTGGCAAGGAGAAATCGTTTCGGATTTGTGAATAACAAGAACTGATGGGCAGGACGCTGCTTCGACTATGTATCAGTCGGCCAGCTAAGATGATGCCCGGCAATGACCGCCGAGCGTAAACTCTACTTTTTTGTTTGATGACACTAGACTAGTTGAGGCGAAAGTAACGAAGGATGGAAGACGGGCAAGCCTCATGCGGGTTGGGAATCAACTTAGACACAGTATCCTCGCTCGACATGGAGTTATGATCCATCAAAGCAGAGCGGTTCCAGCAAGACGGAAACATGCCAGGGTTAATTGCCAGGATATGAGAGTAAAGGCGGGAGGGGTGGAATGATATCCACCAGGATTATGTATGGTCACGTCCTTTGCCCAAGTCAGGAGCAGCAGAGTCATGTATGAGCGAGATACATTGTCGGTGAGAGAATGCTGAGAACAGTCAACAGATGCCTAACTAGGAAGTGAACGAGAGATGGCGATGGCCATGTCACAGAAGGAAAGAAACGCCAGACAAATGCCAGAAGCTCGGACTATCTCAAGACAACTGAGTGACCAAAGAGTCAAACTAAATACGGAGAGTCCAGGAGGGATGTGTGGAGATGGCTGAGCCGCCGAAGCGATTAAGATCGGGGTTCCCTTGTGGGGAGAGGCCAAGAAAGCAAAGAAAGGCAGGCAGATGCAAAGTGTAGACGACGAAGAAAGCAGGGTTCTAATCCAGGTTCGGGAGGTGACAGGTGAGAGGCAGACATGGAGCCAAAGCCAAAGCCAGCTGTTGTCGCCGTTATGGCTTTGTACAGGAAGCTAAGGAGACGGGACGAATAGTGGACAGAGAGCAGAGACATGGTGTGTAAAACGACATCAGGTACAGAACAGGGAGGAGATTCTTGCGATGCTACGCATGAGACGTCGTCTCTATGAGAAGAACAAGAAGACATGACCAATGTTGATCGGAATTTGGGAAAATTTGATGCATCATCACGCCCAAAGAGCGTCTTGGAACCAGGATAGCCATGCCAACGACCTCGGTCGTTGGGCGGGGACCCAGCTTAAGAAAGAAGTCGAACATGATGCCGTATCTTGTGATGAGTCTAGTCGTGCCGAGGCGGGAGAAACACACGAGAGACAGAGCAAGATTGCATACGCAACAAGCCATGTGGTTCTATCCAGAAGAGAACAAGCTTCATCGCATTGAATAGGAGACCGCAAACCATCGAATAGAATGGCCTGTGACATTGATGCCGTGTGCGGGCACCTCCCGCTTCCATTGTCATACAGAGAAGTAAAAGTCAAGGTCTGATATATTCTCGCAAGAGTTCCCCGAATCGGGAAAATGGACCCAATTGAAGGGAACGGCGGCCCCTCATGGTTTCAATGTCTGGAACCAATCGCAGTTGTTGAAACGCCCCAGACCACGGTGCGGGACGCAGCGGGGAGAAAAGAAACTTGAGCATTCAATCGCATTCTTCCGAGATCCTAGTTTGACCGGCTCGAGTGTTGATGGGTCGACAAAGATCTCGGCCGATGCACTAGCAGGAAAAGCCACATGAAGATTTGTTGTCGCTTGAGATATCGGGTTGTGCTTGAGGCTTTGTTGGCCTCAACTCCAACGCTATAGGTTGATTTGAACGTTGAAGCAAGCATTTCCTTTCTTGGATCTAGCGATGGATCCCAATGGCTTGGCTTGTTGGCGGCTCATCGACCCTAGATCCCGGCCGCTGCGGTGATATCAGCTTCAGGCATGCCATCAAATGCAATGCAAGTTGTCGCTTTGAGTATGAAATTTGCTTGCTTGGCTCTTCAATGGAAAATGGCAGCTGTCATGTGAGACCTTCCCATGTCAGGCAGTTATTGTTAGATACTGACCTAGGTAGGTACCCAGCAGTCCTTGCTTCCTTCCGGATCCTGTGGGCATGGTTGGTGCCTTCCTTACAATTAAAGATTTGTTGCTGTGTTTTTCTGGAAGGAAGCATGGGGTTTGACAGGTGATTGCTTTTTATGGTGAGCTTTCCCGTTTATTTATAACAGTCCCCAGTCTGTTAAGGCCCAAACTTCATTTTAACATTTCTACAACTGACCTGTCGCATCTTATCCCTGGATTCGTTTCTTAATCTCCTGAGGCCTGCTTTGCGATCGTTCTTCATCCACCGGGAGTTGTCAATCTCGAATCCATTTTCGGTGCATCCACTTTCCGAGTATCCTTGCACCACTCATCAGCTTCCAGCTGCGACTTCAATATTACATCGCAGCAACGTTATGCTCCTACATCTCGTGTGTCCTCAGAAGGCGGGGCAGACCAGTTCCAAACTAGATGGTGAAGCGGTGGAATAATGATGTCAAGGATTCCGTTCATGCTTCCTCGATAGCCATGTACAGCGTCATCTGTATCTTCGGGAACAAGTCAACGGAACCTGCTTCCTGCAGTGCAACCCAACGACTTCTCATCCATTCCCCTCCTGTTCATGTCAAGGATAGCCGACATGATCTGATGACAAGTAACGGTCTTGACCTTCTAGACATTCAAGCAGTGATGATAGTGACGGGCAATGCATATTGTCCCATCGTAAATATGCCAACTGCCTATTGCAGATAACTGGTAGCAATTGAGCATGGGCTTTCACATGGGGTGATTGTGGTCAGGTCGTCGTAAAATGCGACTGGCTCGGTAAACGCTGTTCATGGTTACATCGACTGATTAGTCGCAGTGCCCGGAACGGCAATCACAGAATCCTTCGAAGTTCCCAGTCAGTGATCCTGGGGGGTTAAATCTAGGTACCGCGTACTGAGATTCAATGCTTCAAGATGCGCGCTCTCAACGGTTTCACCACTTTACGTCGCATCGCGCCATTTCAATATGTTTCCACACAGGGCTACAACCAGTGTGGATGAACGACCGTTGTCTGTTGTCATTCATGTCTCGGTTTATGTTTGTGTTGCTGTTCATCAACGACAAGCAAGGGATACCTTGGCCACGCTGTCGAGTCCGAGACTCGAGACTATAAACCTGAGATTTGCATCTGCAGTGAACCCTAAAAGGCATGCATGAGTCTAGATCTGTCTGTCCGACGCCAATTCTGGATGTCAGCAGGTTCCAAGGCTCCAACCTGGTGGATCATAAGCCACGCAGCATTTATGAAAGTAACCACACTTATAAACAACTCCGAACTGTGGCTGAGGGGAACGTGGCACGATTGGAAACCTCTTGAATTCGCGGATTGAACTTTGGGTATCGCGACATTTTCGATCTCGGAGATGCTTCGGGCTGAGACATGTCCTGTCTCTTTGTTGTCCTAATACGACAGTTCTGAAATACATATCATATCGGAACCTGGTAAGGGAAGGTGATAAATTCTACCTCAACTTCAAACACTGACCGAGACATAGGATCAAGAACAAGTCGTCCCAAGGGCTGAGAACGGGTATTGATGCCCTTGCCTTGACGCAATTAACGATACGATAGGTACAACAAGTAAAGAACGCTATGGGAATCTGCCCTTTCGCCGCGCCAACCTATTTCATGCATGGACGATAACACAAGAATGTCGATCCAGAAACACAATTCCACCTTTCCAAAAGAGTCCATCCCTCACAAATTCGGGGTTACTCGACCCAGGCCGTTCATCTCAAGTTGAAGCAACGCGACACATTCTAGTAATTCCGGTAAACTGAGGCTCTTGGATTATGGACAGCAGCCACCATGTGCGTGTATCCATTCCTAACATCGCCTCTAGTACCGGTATATAGGCTCCTTGCTCTTGGGTGGTGGTCCACTTGGCGCATCGTAGATGTCATCGTCGGAGACTTCGTCGAGTCGCTGTTGTGCGGGCGGCTGGGCTGATGGCGTCGAAGCTCCAGCGCCGTGCATGTGAACCTTACCAATGGCGCTGTCTTGTCGGCCCAGATAGCTTTCCGTGGGTTTGAAGCCAGGATGGAAGGGCTCGTACGCAAGGCGTTCGTGTTCGGAGTACTGAGTCGCTGTGTTGGATGGTGGTTGGACCGACGAAGAATTACCTGGCTGAGGATCTGCAAAGGGATCCTCGGCGGGCTCTTCATAGGGTCGGTTCGAACTTCCCTCGCCATTCTGGGGTGGAGGACCTGGAGGTGGTGGGTAAGAATGCGTCTCTTTACCCTTGCCGGAACCTGACCCAGATCCGTTGCTGAAGGAGTGATTGTTGCCGTTGGTCTCAGGTTGAGACTCTGGCTGCTGTTGGGGCTGAATCTGAGGGGTCAAATTGGGCGACTGTGAGTCGGATCGTTCGTTCAGACCCAGTTGTTTTCGGGCGCTCAGGACAGCTCGCTTGTGCTGATTGAGCGCAGTTTGCAGCTGCTCATTGGTGTCGATGAGATTCTCCATCGTGTCGTTATCAGGAGTGGGATTCTCAGACGTCATGTAGCCTTGGATACTGCGAGATGCGCTTGAGCATCGATCAGCAAATTCCTTGATAAGCTCGTTGTCGAGAATCTCGCCGGGAGGCGTATTCATGACAACTTGCTCCAGGAGCTTAGCTGATGTTCGGGCTTCTTCGAGTCGGCTGGCCAGCTCAATAGGGTCAGGCAAGCGCTTATTCGTGTGGTGTCTCGCGAAGTAATTCTGCGAGTGTGGATTTGGAGGAGGCGTGTTGAAACCGCCTGGCGACATCATGGGCTGCTGCGGTCCCTGTACCGGCTCGTTAGTATGTAAGGTCCCATAACCCGAATCATGTTACACACCCCAAAGTTCTTATAAGCTTGTTCCTTCTCCTTTTGCCACATTGAAATGAGCAAAGTCAAGTTTTCGTCGTACGCCTTGGTGTGCTGGAAATCATCGAGTGTTTCCATGAGAATCTGCCGCACGCTGGGGTCTCGTACAGCCTTGAGAAGTCCACGCGCAGTATCGACAAACTTTTGGTCTAGGTTCCGCGTGAAAGTCGCGCCAGGGTTGTCGGTCAAGATGCGCAAGAGCATGATTGCGTTGTACTGCCATGATGGCTTTGAAAAGTATTCTTTGGACAGGTACTTGCGGATCAGGCGCGCGCATTCGGCGGCAGCGGCTGGGGAGGATTCGGCGGCATCGACGATAGGAGGGAGAAAGAGAACTTCATCTTGCTGTTTCGCATGAGATTAGCTGAGCCGTGACGTCTGAGGGGGCGACTGTAAAACATACCTTGGACTTTCCTCCAGACTCGCAAAATGCTTTCTAGGCTCTGGTCAGCGATGGCCAGACGGACGACACGGACGGTTTCGCAGGATGCGCGATAATATAGGGACATACCACGCTGTTGTGAGCTGTAGCCTCGGGTGTTCCGGCTGGTGTCGTGCCTGAAGGTGAAGCTCCGGAGGGTCCGTCAGATGCTCCTATGAATTGTCAGCTCTGGACGTGTGCTGTGTTTATTTTGGGCTGTCTGAAACCGAAGAGGTCGATCGCAAGGCAGCGCGCATGAGAATACGTACGATTGGAGACATTGCTGGCTTTTCTTCTGATGCTACCGAGCACTTTGCTCATACCAAGACCCTTCATGGACTTCATGGCTGTGTTGGAAGCTCGCGCCACAGCGGGCGACTCTAGGGGTGGAGAAATCGGGGGACTCTTGGAACAGGAGGCGAGATGATGCTGGAGTTTATAGCGGTGTTTGGTAGATAAGGAATAACAAAGTTGTTGAGGTCAAGTTGTGACTCGAAGAGTTGAAGATGTAGGGAAATTAAGGCTCAAAAGGGAAGGCGCCGGGATGCAATGCAATTACTATCACGGTTTCAGAAGCGAACGGTGATGTTGGTTGGTCTTGGTACGTTTCTGCCTCTCGGAGCTGACGATGTTGGAGCAAGCGTCGAATGATTGGCGCCGTTGTCTGGGAGTAGCAAGGGTACTGATCCTTTTGGACTGGTTTGAAGAAATTGAGGGCAAAGTTGCTTTTAACTCGAGTGATGTGGTATAGTAGATGATGACAAAGCAACAAGTAAACACTGATTGTCCGGTGACGAGGTAGTTGTTTACCCGTAACTCTCCTGTAACTGTAGCTGTACTCGTTCGTTTCTTCTTGTTGGGTCTCGTCGATATTCAAAGTTCGGAGTTCTTAAGGGTCCGTGATGCGCCTCCCGCTAATACAGCCCCGTGCGTCACCCACTCTCTGGGCTGGGATTTGCAGGGTCCTACAAGGTCGAAATAGAGCAATCTTGCGATAGGTAGAAAGAGTTGAAACACAAGGAAAGAGAAGACATCAATTTACGCATCAAATAAACATAAGGCTCTAGACGATGGCCTAATTATCAACAAATATAACTACTCTAACCCAACTGTAAAGCGGCCGCCGTTGCACAGCCTCATCACCCTACGCAATCAACCCCTCTCTATCGCCGCCGTAACACATGACATTAGCATTCCCTCCCCTCAGCATTAGTATTGGCATCGTGTCTTGGCTTCACTCTGGGCTTTGTCATGAAATGTGCCGGGCCTCGTTCTCACTATCGTTCATCAGAGAGACGGACAAACAAGAACGCGTGGCATTTCAATATGCGGAGTGTTCATCTAAAAGGTGAAGATCCGCGCTATCTCCACAGTGGGAGCCGTTCTTCTGGATCTCTAACACGCGGCCCGAAGTTTGAAAGCTGGATAGACTGTTATAGTGCACCCTTTAACATACAGTAGACGCCGTTAAATAGTGAGTGGCAGTATGTGTCAAGTTGTAGGCTTGAACTGCGTAGGCCTCATTTACTAAGATCATGCTTGTCTCAAGAATCTGACAACCAGACATCTCGCTGTGTTCGTTAAATTACTGCGGACTTCAGGTTGTAGTCTATAGACCTAAGTCCGACAGACACTCAAACCTCTCGGCAGTTTTCTTTGCGCCGGTGTAGCCCACAAGCGAGCATCTGATAAGCGACACCGTTTCCTGTCGCCCAGGCCTCCAACACATGCTCCCACGACACCCTCTTGTAGTCAAAGTCGTGTCTATTCTTCATTATATAACAGCAAAGCTCTTGACCGCCATGAAAAGTCTCCATAACAGACGATCGCTGGTCATGACCTCTTGGCGCTAGTTACTGACTGACCACCCTCCGCCTCCTAGTCTTCGTCATCGCCCTCGTCGTCCGACTCATCTTCCGATTCCGGTGATATGTCCTCCACAATCAGATTTCCTGACCGTCCAATCTTCTCCCCCATCGTCACTGTTGTGCTAGGTTCGTACACCGTTCTGGGGAGAATTGAGGCGATTCGGAACTTGTACTCGTGCTCGTACTCCCCCGGCTTATCACCACCCGCTGCACCCTCCTCTTTGAGAACACTGTAGCACTCCACAAAGGCATACAGGTCCTCCAGGGAGGCATCTTGGGGGAACCGCCGCACAATTCGGCCGATACCCGATTCCTCGGGCATCTTGAGTGCGACTCGTACCACGCTCTTATCGCTGGTTGTTGGCTCGGGCACAATAGTTGTTGCTCTCCATGCAATCCATTGCTCGCGCTTCTCCTCGAGTCTCTTTGCTGCCTCTGCTTCTTCCTGCGCGCGCTTCTCTGCTGCTGCAGCGGCGGCCGCTGCTTCTCTCTTCTGGCGTGCGCGTTCTCGGTCAATAGCTAGTGACCGTTCGTAGGCCGAGTCTTGCTCAGTTCGTAGATTTCTTGTTACTTCCTGGGCTGTTCGCTCTGCGCGTACTCCATCCAGATCTGCACCGTACTTTTCGATTGCTGCTCGAAGCTCTGATAGGTAGGTGGAGGGGGGCATGGGTCCAACGAGTCGCTTGACGATCCCCATTCGTGTACTACCCTCCTTTGGTGTAAGGCAAACCAATGCCGAGAAGGGAAACTTGGTGCAGATATACTCCTGAGCCACCTGGTATGCCTCGGAATCCAAGACGTTTCCGCCCCACAGAATTATGTTGTTGGAAGGATCTTTGATGAAGTTTACAACTTCTGGTGCCAGTAAAGTCTCCTTTACGAAAGACTCGGTATCGTCGTGCTCAGGCGACATTAATACCACAAGCATAAACTTGAGGTCCTTCTTGGCTTGATCATGCGCCTGAGCGACCCCGCCCTCGAAGAAGGGTAACTCGTTCTCTCCATACTCCTCTTCGAACTCTCGCTTGAATCTCGAGGCAGTGTCTCGAGGCATGAGAGGTCGTCGACCATTGGTGCCTCTGAAGCCTGTCGAGATTCTGCTCGTAACAGCCCGCGGTCGAATCGAGGCGGGCAAGAAGGACAGCGCATAGATTAAAGTCCGAAATAGAGTCGAGGCAGCTCTCCAGCCTAAGCTAAAGGGTGTGAGGAGCAGGCCCAGCAACCATGGTGTTCGGTTTGTGACAGGGTTCTGAGGCACGATTCTCGGAGCTAGATCAGTGCGCTGTCGTGGTGAAGCTCGAGGGGCACGAATTGCCTCATCAAAAAGGCTCTCTTGTAGGTTCTCGTGCCGCGCTGTCGCTCGGGGTATTTCTTGTTGTGCTGCAGCTACTGGGTCTGCAACTTCGCCGTCGAAGAACTTGGCGATTGCGATCTATGATGTATCGTTAGAAGGATGAAAAGGAGCAAAGAAGCGAGTTTGATACCTGAACATTCCATTCGGAGCGTCGGAGAAGCGGAATGGCTTCGCTGATCTCTTGGTTGGTCACTTGTGTATATTGATCAAGAGCCTCCTGCTGAGTAGTGGACAGTTGTCCCAAGTCCATGTCGCCTTCAGCCATCTTGTCAATCTATATCATCCACACTGTTCTTGTTACAGGGTTCGAATAATGTCTCTCAGGTGAACAGCAAGAAGAGGGGAAAGGAACCGAGTTCAAATGTGCGGGAACGAAGAGTGAATGCGGTCTACGTCTCGCTTGTGGTGTAACCCCACGGTTTTATAAGATCCAATACATTGGGCATTCGTAAATAAGTGGTTGGAAGATTCCGGCTTCGCTGCATATAAAGGAAAAGAAGGAGTGTGAAGAAAGATTAAAAATTTTCAAACTGTCCGAGATAAAAAAGAGGTTTAAAATGGACTCGATTGAAGTATCTCTTGTATGTGATATCGAAAGACGAGAGCTAGAGATGAGGTTGACGAATGATGGCATCAAGCGCGCCAAAGCTAAAGTGGGCGGGCTTGCTTATCAAAAGTCAGATTAAACCCGTTTTGGGGTGGGCTATTCTTCGGGACAATGATATTATTGGTGTCTTCCATGGGAACAACGAACTGGCTTGAGATTTGGCGTCATGCCGTGGAGACACATGTCTAAGTATATTTCCATACAAAAATAATAGAAAAGATACTAGGATGAAGCGCATTGCTTTGCTGGGCTCGCGACACTGCAGGCTTGTTCACCCAACCCAACTGAAGTGTCTAGTTCCTCCACCAAAACTGCCCCCCCACCGCCCACATCCACATCCGCACCTAATCCAACCACTCGTTCAACTCCTCATACCTACCTTACCTCAACCTCACCTCTCCTCCTCCCGACCTCGCAAGACTTTGCTTGCTCCCGCTACGAGAGGCGACGGCCCGCGCCTTGTCCCCCCTCGAACACGGTCGTTGGCTTCCCGCGCTTTAATCACTGTTCAAGCTGGTCTGCAACGGCCAGCCTCTGGACCCCGCCGTTCGTCTCGTTACTCCATGGGCGGCCGCTCGCCTCGATCAATTGAACAATGGGAAATGCTTGCCAGAGTCAAGTAGGTGCTGTTTTTGTCAGTATTCGGCCTAGGTGCTGTGGGCATTGTTATCTGCACCAGATCGTTTCTCAGTCGGCAGCTTGCTAACATCCTCCTCTTTCAGACGTCGTAAACACAGCCAAGCGGGCTGCACTACCTTCAACACTATATAACTGACCATGGCGACTTCGCGATATCAAACGGCCGATCTGCGACGCCAAGTTGGGTCCCCGAGACCCAAAGGACGCGGTTCGTTTGCCCTTCCATCCATCCCACGATATCGACACACCCCACCAACAAATCAACTCCAACATGAACGCTGACCTGCGCTCTCCAGAGAATAAAGATACACTATGCCGAAACGTACTTATTTATGGCCATTGTCGATATGAGGACCAAGGTTGTGCCTTTAGTCACGACCAGAACAAAAACAACTCCAATTCAGACTTGTAGGTTACTCAAACTTTTGTTTTGTTTGTTTGTTGTTTTCGGGATGGATAAACCCGACCCATGATGCGACAGTTCGCAGCACCCAAATTCGATCCGACTTCGCTTGGCTTATAAAGTTACACACTTCAGCCATGAAAGCCTCGCGCTGTCGGTCCAATGGTGGGTTTGTTAATGAGGTTTGTAAGTGATCATTGTATACAGTGGTTACATACTTTTTCTCTGTAGACGGGAGGCTTCAATGCTGCTGCAGGAAGGACTGTATGTCGCATGACCCCTCCGCTCATCGGCCGATACTCCCTCATCACCAATGACTTGCCAACTTTACTTCAACTCTTCCAAAACACAACACTCCCATGTATCAGCAGCCCTGGTACTGTATCACTACTTCAGGCATATAATATCCCACACTCTTTCTTGCTCAAGTTGACTCTTGCGAGCTGCTACTCCACATTCAGCAACTCACACTGCGATTCCGGACCTCCAACATGGCTAATGATGATGAACCCAGATCCAAGAAAGCACTCAATGTTGAATCGCCATCTTTCACACCCGCTAGCGTTGGGAGTAAAAAGGCCACCTTCTCTTCACAAGCTGCCAGCGCTCCAGCTTTTACACCACGTGGCTTGGGCTGTATGTTCCCCATAAGTACCCTCATTCTTGAGTCAGTCAACTGACAAAATGTTTGTGAAGCCGCTACCCCGGTTGGGCCCCAGGACGGCGACAGCAGCGTCTTCAATCCTGCAACTGTTCGCGAATTTACCCCTAACTTTGACGTGAACAGCACGGTATGAACTGTCACTGCCGATATTGAGACTCCCCGCTAATTAAATAGACTACTTCCGCAAATGGCTCCGGTCAAGATGGCGGGATCTCTTATGACCCCTTCACTGTGCCTACTATGAATCAAGGCATTACTACTCCTCAGTACAACCCCTATGCTGAAGATCCAGGAGCTCTCGGTGGCCATGGGCCAGGGTACTTCCCAGCACAAAATGCATTTGCTGCTCCCGTTCAGCCTCTGCAACATCACTTATACTTCCCCGCTGGGCAACGTCGAGATGATTTGATGCCATATCATCGTGTTCCTCACGACTTTTTCATCGCTGAGAAAGATCGAGTTGAGATTGTCAATAAACTTGAAGCGACTGGCCAAGTTCTCCCCAACTCTCAGTTACCGCAACTCGACAATTACCACAACTTGGTACCCTTGGATACAACCCATCGGAAAAATGCTAACATCTTCGGCTATCCGAGCTGGGTATATAAAGCTACACAAACCAAGTCGGGTCACACTTATTGTCTCAGGCGATTAGAAGGCTACAGACTCACCAACGAGAATGCCATCAGGCTTGTCAAAGAGTGGCGGCGCATTAACAATGGCAGCGTGGTTTCTATCATTGATGCGTTTACCACCCGCGCTTTCGGGGACAGCTCACTCATCTTTGTACAAAACTATTTCCCCCTTTCCAAAACACTAGTTGAGGCTCACTTGACCCCAAGCAGTACCCATGGTACACGTTTCCAAGCTAAAACGCCCATTGCTGAGAACGTCCTGTGGGGTTACATCTCACAGATCGCCAATGCGCTCCAGGCCATCCATTCGGTCAATTTGGCAGCACGATGCATCGACCCTAGCAAGATTATACTTACAGACAAAGGCCGCATCCGTCTCAGCGCATGCTCTATCTTGGACGTCGTTCAATATGATGCTCATCGATCCATTCAAGAGCTTCAGCAAGAAGACTTCATTCAATTCGGCCGGCTATTGCTCTGTCTGACGACGAACACTCTGCCAGTCCACCTCACTAATTTTAACATATCTTTGGAACAATTGTCGAGGGTATATTCAGTCGAACTGCGGGATACTGTGCTGTGGCTCCTCACCCCTCAGCAACCTCCCGCTCAGAAGGGCATCGACGAGTTTGTACGCGGAATCGCTGGTCGTATCACATCCACGTTTGACCAAATTCTTCAAGCCAATGACAAGGCCCGCGCCGACGTCATGCGGGAGGTGGAGAACGGTAGGGCAGCCAGACTGATGATGAAACTCGCAACCATCAACGAGCGATATGACTTCAACGGAGATCAGAATTGGTCCGAAAATGGTGAGCGGTATATGCTCAAACTCTTCAGAGATTATGTTTTTCATCAAGTGGATGCCAACGGTAATCCAGTTCTGGATATGGGACACATGCTTCGTTGCATGAGCAAACTAGATATTGGGACGGAGGAGAGGGTTTGTCTCACCAGTCGAGACGAACAGACCAGCTTCATCGTCAGCTACAAGGAGCTTAAAAAGATGCTGGCGAATTCCTTTGGAGAACTTGTCAAGGCGAGCAAATCAGGTCGAAGCTTCTAGTCCCAGCAGGAACAACAACCTGGCTCGTGGCAACTTTCAGAGAATAGCGGTACAAAGCCTCAATACTCACAAGGACATTAGAAAAGGCCAGACCGAGGGTAGGGGGCTAGATTTGATGGTAAATTGATGGGTATTGGTCCTAGCCAGTCTCGTGCAATTTCTATTCCCACGAGGCCAAAGTCCTACAGGGCAACAGAATATTTTCCATGGAATCAAACACATCAGGAGGAAACAGGGTCTCAAAGCGAATCAGACCTGTCACTAGAGGTTCCCAGCGAGTTATGCCAAAGCTCCGAGAGGAGGCTAATGTGCTTCACACGGGCAGGGCCAAGCAAGCCTCCGTCATTGCCTGAGGATGGATCAAACGACGACTTACAAGGAAGATTGAGTCCTCAGAACGACAAGGACGCCCCGGCTGTCAAGAAGAAACGTAGAAAGAAGAACAGGAGGACCAGAAAAACAAAGAGTACCAATTTTTGAGAACAGAGTCTCATACAATCACAACACATTGGGTACCTATAAGGGCAACGCCTTGGATCAGTCAAGCACTCAGGACTGGCACAATCGCCAGAAGGTTTCTGGCCTCTTGTCATATGATGCGATGGAGGTTGGGACATTGGAGGCATTCTACAGATTCATGATGGTCTGCCATGGCTGATGATGTTTAGACTGTGTGTGTATATGGCAGAGGTTAGTGGTGGTTCTGAAGCAGAGAGAGACGAGATAGCGAGACAGAAGGAGCGTATTTGTCTTTTCAATATGATATATTGCCTTCATTCGTCACAATATTCTATGAAGTGGCGGCTAACGTGATGATTTCACGGTTGGTGCCAGGGGTTTTCGTAAGATGCTGCTTTTGATGCCATGCATAAGGTAATCCAAAATACCCTGGTAGTAGCTGGCGGTCTAATTGTGTCGCTCGGTTTCTTGAGTTTAAACCAGACTTGACACGGCCGTATATATTGTACCAGCTCCAGGTTGGATGGTTTGTTGTTTGCCTTTGTCGTAATATTCGTTTCCAGCTTGATAACAGTTGAGTCCTCAATCATCCTCGGCCTGCACAAAAGGGTTGGCAATCTCTTCGCTGCCGTCGACTGGGCTGACGAGAACAAGGAGAGTGCCTCGAACAACTACGAGGCCAAGGGATCGAGTGGAGTCGTTGCCTTCGTCGTCTGCGGTCATTGTGTTAGCTACGAGTACCTATCCAGGAACGGGTAGAATATTAATCAGGAGATGGTTTGTAAGAGTCGCGCGTCATACCTCGAACAACCTCGTGTACATCATCTAGTACCAGGTTCATAAGAGCATCATAGCCCTTCAATGTGCCCTTGACTGAATCAGAAGTTAGTGACTGAGATCTCCTGGCGCGCAACCCGAATAAATATACCCTCGCGGCCGCCGTTAAACTTGACGGTGATCTGCTTGTCCATATACTTGCCCAAGTCAAGAATGTTCTCCTTCTTGGGTCTCTCGCGCTCCTGCTGGGCGCCTCCCGCGCCGCCGCCTCCACGACCGCCTCCGCGGCCACCTCGGGGATGCGATCCTTGGCCACCGCGGCCACCTCGGTGTGAGGGTCTATCGGACATGGCGTATCTTTTGGGGGGGTTAGATTGAGGAGATGGGGTGTGATATTGGTGATGAGCCTGTGGTTTGGGCTGAGGTTGGAACTTGTGATGACTCTGGTGGGGTGAGTGGTGCTAATACAATTGTGGAGGTTTAGGGGTGTGGATTTTGGCTGTTTGTGGGCAGTCATGTGTGAAATTGGGTGAGAGTGGATTGTGAGAAGAGAGCTTGATACATACGATTCGACCAATGAGTGGCAGGAATTAGATACAGCAACACTCACTTCTTCATGTGAATACGATAATCATAACTCACACCGCGTAATAATCTGGCCTAGTCTGCCGACTGCAGGAAAGATATTGATCATCAGAAACAGGTCTAGCAAAATGCAGGAGAGCTTTGTCGATTAGTGATGGTCACTAACCGACTTTCAGTGCCGCAATACCGAGCGTGATACTATTGGACCTGTAATATAGATCCAAGTGGAAGTCCAAGTGCAAGACGAAATATATCGCTCGCGTGCCTCGGAGACCAGCGTCGCAAATTGCAGTAGCAGATCGACGAGCGGGATGATGCAGCGCAGCCAGCGCCAGTGATATTACCTCACTCATCTGACTTGAAACTAGATCCATGCAGCCTGAGTGAGCTTGTCTCTTTTCCTGTTTACCGCCTTAGCGCCTGTAGTAAATCATCCCTCCCTCCATCCGTGCAAGCTACTCTACCTTGGGGATTTGCAGCAGCACAGCCTCAGACAAAGATCCCGCGGTGGGACATGCATTAAGGCGCATATGTACAGATTGACAGGAGTGATATGCGACTCTCATTACAGGTATATGAGCTGTTTTTTTTGCGTGTACTTGACTCCTCAGAGGAGGCCTCTCAACATCCATCATGAACTGTCCGAAAAAGGGAATCAAGCTACAGTAGCACTGGGTCTTGAGCCCGCTGGCCCGCCGTTACCAAGCTGTATAGGTACCTAACTTAGTTAATGGATGTCTGGGCGGCTAGCAGTGGTTGCAGTACCCAGGTATAGGGCATCACCAGTGGAGGGCATTTGTGTCTGTGTCCCGTCTGTCAGTTTCGAATTGGTTGCTGCTACTGCCGCTCTTTGTCCTTAAATCCTCCTGGCCTACCTCGTTCCTTCTTTTCTCTAAACTTTCCAAAAGAAAATCTTTCATCCTCAAAGGAACCATCAACTATCGTCGTCCTTTTCAGGCACTATAAGTCGGAGATTTTGGTGTTGACATGCCGTCCATTCATACCTACCTATCCATTCAAATTAACCAACTCGACCGTTGTCACTTTCCATCGGCCTCGCACCTCGTTCCGCTGCACTCTTCCCCACATGGTCCCGATTCCCCGGCACTTTCCTCTTGCTCCAAGGCTCCCGTCTCTTTTCCGTATTTCCTTGTGCTTCTCCCCCAGCCTGTCCAATATTTGAACCCTTTTCAATCTCCTTTTCTCACTCTTGAAGGCTCCTCTTCACCCACCTGGGCTCCAACGTTACCCGTCATAGCTCACTGCGTTATTTTGCGCGAGGGATTTTCTGTGCTGGAATAAAATTGAGACTGTTCCACGGAGAATCTACAGTTGTTCTCCTCTTGGCGCCCATTTACCTGCATATCCAAGGTATCTATCTATCTGGGGGTACGGGCTCTCTAGTACTACTACAAAATCGACATATCCTCTCGATTCACCGTCAACTTATTCCGGCTTCATTCCGTCGCCATGAATATCCAATAACCGCTGTCGTTGTCCCATCCTCTCTCTCTCTCTCTCTCTCTCGTCTCTTCTCTCCTCTTCAGCCCTATCCGTCAATCGATTAATTGGAATCCCCGTCGCAATCCCTTCGCGACGTTGCCACTCACCTGACTCTAATTCGTCCTCTGGTCAAATTTCCCAGAGAAGCTTTGATATCTATCTCCCTATTCTGTCCACTTTTCAGGGCAATCCAGGCAGATCTGTCCGCTTCACAGGACATTTCAGGGTTCAATCTCGGCTAGGACGTTTGTTGGTCAAGCGTAAGCGCCTCAATCTGTCACACGGCATCCAGGCTCGTCTATCAATCTTGACCCTTTGGTCAACATACCACATTTACACCCATCAATCACCCATCATGGGCCATACTTCCGACTCGGAACCTGCAAAACGAAAGCGTGATGTCGATGATGCCGGTGGTCAAGGTCGCGCTCAGCACGCACCTACATCTCTTCAGCAAGGTATGTCTAGTATGACAACAGCCGCCAAAGGCTGCACCATATTGTGTCGCCTCAAATCCTGAGACGTTTCGTTTGTAGCACCACATACGAGACTGTCTTGTTTGCCTCGACCTCGTCGTCGTTGCACACTTGCATGTGTCTTCGTGTCTCCTACATTCTTCAATGCATGTCGTTGCCTGATGGCACGCGCAAACGAGACGGCACTTGAAAAGCCGATGCTCTTGGTTTGACTCCTCACCGGAAGTAGCGTTCAGCTCGACTCCTCCAGGGACGCACATGCTTGTTGCTTTTGTATCCGGCTTTTCTGTCTTGGTGCGATGGCACAGCTTGTTCGCTTGGAGGATATGCTAACCCGACCTCAAAGGCGTTCCCGGTTATATCCACTATCTCCCGAGATCAAATGCATCGCATTTGAGCCTCGTACAGGGTGACGCAGACACATTTGCCGACATCATCGGTCTGATTGGCGAATATGAGAGTAAGGATGCCAAGAGAATCGTTGAAACCATTAATGGGATACCATTTACTGACGTACATCAGACGTGCTGGACAGGCATGAGAGTCTTGCAGCAAGTCTTGGGGCTAAACTTACCGGTCCAAGACTGTTGAGAGGCATTGAGAAGTTTTTTGATGGGCCAATCAAGACGACACCACTTCAGCCCTTCTCCAACCCTATAAGTTGGCTGGATGTTGTCAGTTTTGCTAGATCAAACCCAAAGGATTTCACCCTCGTTCAAAAGGCGGATGGCACCCGATGCTGCCAATTTGTTCTCAAAGGCTCACAGGTGGAGATTATGGAGGACGATTGGCGGTTGGTATGGTCTGGCGCTTTGGATCGGTTCCCTCTGGATCACCCCCTCGAAGAGGATGAGACTGCAGAACTGGCGACATTGGATATTCTCGAACAAAGAACATCAATTCTGTACAAGAAGGCTGACGAAGTGGCGGCAAGAGCTCGTATACTCAACCATCGACTGGGGCAGAGGAAGCAGGATATTCGTCGACGCAGGAGCACACAGGACACACCGCCGTCACGATATCAGCCCACTAACAGCACCGGCAGTAGCGGTTCACAGCGAACGACCAACTTCAGCGCCGGCTATGATTTACATGCAGATTTGCTGCAGCAGTTTCTCGCAGCTTCAGCTTCACCACCACCATCTCGGTCAACTTCAGTTACGGGAATTCCTATAACCACTTTGAGTCAGCAATCTCCTTCGCACAGCGTAACACACTCTCAAGCACACGGTCCGAGATACAGTGGCCATGCAACAGAGGCAACAGTGCAGCCTGTGATGGACAGCCGCGAGGCAGCTTTCCGGTCTCTTATTACACAAAGAACTGACCAGCTGGGTAAGGGGGATGTTATCAACCCACCGTGCGATCGCTGTCGGCGACTAAGGGTTGAATGCGTCAAACATTTGACAGCATGCTCAGGATGTACCAAAAAGCATGCAAAATGCAGTTGGAAAACAGTCACAGATGATGAGTTCCGACAACTCAAGCGAGACATGGGTCTCAGGGATGAAATGGATGTTGATGGGCAGTCAGATAGTGGACGAGTTCCTGACACATTAGACCCCAAAGACGGGCATTCAAGTCGACTTGGAGAGAGGCAAGAAGCAGGCAGAACGTCCGGGGATAGAACACCTGGAACATACGGTACCGATGAAGGTTCGAGGCCTCCTAGTCGGGACAACGGGCATCTTCCTAGTACAATGGAACCATCGACTGCATCGATGCACCGATTCGATCTGAGTGCAGAACGACATCGGCTCCCTTTTGGAATGGGGCAGTCAGCTAGGTCAGATCACAGCAACCATTCGGTTGAAACACTAGCACCTGGATCAAACGCCACGGGATTGGCGAGTTCGCTGGCAACACCTTCGAACAGTACGTATAGGGGTAGTGATGGTTCGTTGAATCCTTCAGCCAGCTGATACTGCATCAGTCAGAATAGCCCCACTGGCGTTTTACGCTTGAAAGTCCCGACTTGTGAGAGTCAACACATGGAGATGGCTTGACAAGGAAGAAGAGTGTGCGAGAAGAAGTCAACGTTTATGAATTTGATGAATACAAAGACATTTAAAATCTCCTTCAGGCATCTCATCACATTTAAAGCACTGCCGTTATTTGTGTTTCGTCATTTTTGTCTTGGCTTTAATCGGCTTTACACATGGCAGCCACTGACCCACATATAGCTAAGTCTCGAAAAGAATAGGTACCTTGAAGACCCGTCAGCACCACTTCCATTGTGGATCCCGTCGAGACGCATCTCATCCAGTGGCAGCTGTAGAAAAAAAGTTTTGGCAGAGGGCGATTAGATAAGGCACTAATGACCTCTTCTACCGCTAATGAGGTGCCACTGCTGCTAATGCTTCGCTGATTCATGAAAAAGATTCTCCATCTTTCCCAATTTACCAGAGGCGATTCCTCTTCTTCAACAAATACTTGGCGACCGAGCCCTTGTCTTATCGCTCGCTGATGATCTTACTACGCCTACTTTCTTAATAATTATACGGCATCGACAGGCTTCACTGCAGGTCGCTCTTATCGACCGACGGTCCCGCGCAAAATCGAAATTTAACGGCGAATCGACTGAAGGAACGAGTAAAAGCAACAGAACAACCAACATTGACGGAATTCAGGGCTCTCCTCTTACTTCACAACCGAAAACTGCACCTCGCCATGTCACACCATCAGCCTGCGTCGCACGCCATGTCCAGCCGCGACGAGAAACCATTCCATCATTCCCATTCACCAATCGATCACTCGGCACTCATCCAGTCACGGGAGACTGGCGATGTAATTCCTGATGACACCCCTATCCAGGGAAATGTTAAGGCATTGCCCTTTGCTAAATCATGGGTTCACATGTTTGCTGGCGGGTATGTAATCCTCCATATGGTCCCCAACTAGCTTGCGACAACTTGTCGTAAGACTAATTTGCGGGGAACGACGAGACTGACTTGATTGTGTTCATAGTGTTGGAGGTATGACTGCCGCTGCAGTTACAGCCCCCCTCGATGTGCTAAAGACCCGATTGCAATCCGATTTCTACCAAGCCCAGATCCGAGCTCAACGCGAAGCTCAAGCTCAGGTCATTGGCCGACTAAACCCTGCCCGGGCTGCCCTATACCACCTGAACGATACACTCCAGATTCTCGGCTCAGTATACCGGAATGAGGGTTGGCGAGCACTCTTCAAGGGTCTAGGCCCTACCTCAGTTGGAGTTGTACCTGCTCGATCCATCAACTTCTATGTCTACGGCAATGGAAAACGCCTAATATCTGAGCATTTCAACAATGGTGTAGAAGCGCCTTGGGTTCACCTATCGGCTGGTGTAGCAGCCGGCGTCATTACCTCAACGGCTACAAACCCTATCTGGATGATCAAGACTCGGCTACAGCTGGACAAGAATGTTGCAGCTGGCGGTACGCAAATGCGCAAATATCGCAACAGCTACGACTGTATACGTCAAATCATCCGGGACGAAGGTATTCGAAGTCTCTACCGTGGCATGAGTGCTAGTTACCTCGGCGTGGTAGAGTCAACGATGCAATGGATGCTCTATGAGCAAATGAAGGCGTCTTTAGCTCGCAGACACAACACGATCGTTCGCAGTGGTCGTGAACTGAATTGGTGGGATAAGACTGTCGACTGGACTGGAAAGGGTTTCGCTGCTGGAAGCGCTAAGTTGGTCGCCGCTGTGATCGCCTATCCCCACGAGGTACGTCATCGGTTTGAGACGTTGGAATCTTTACGGGATACTGACGAGGATGAAATAGGTTGCGCGAACACGACTTCGACAAGCGCCTATGGAGAATGGACTGCCTAAGTATACCGGCCTTGTTCAATGCTTCAAGCTTGTCTGGCTTGAAGAGGGTGTCATGGGTCTATACGGGGGTCTGACACCTCACTTGATGCGAACAGTACCTAGCGCCGCCATCATGTTTGCCATGTATGAAGGCATCCTTCGACTATTCCACACACCTGCATAAACCGTTCTCTGAACGAGAAACGCACTGATTTTGCACAAAGCGATCAGAAACTAGTGCGCTACCTAGAACTGATCCGCTCATCGATATCCTGTAACACTATCCGACACGAGTCGCTATGAAGCTTTGAAAGCTTTACAAACACTACTCGCTCTTGTATCAATGTACAACACCCAAGGTCTTCAAACGAAGCTGGGACATGAAGAATCACGAGAAACTAACAAAAGGGGAGATGGCGTGGCTAAGGCATATTGATTTTTCGGCGTTTGGCGAGTGGATGGAGCAGTAGAGAGGAAAATGCAAACACCCACACTCATGCTTAGGCTCATGCTCATGCTTACACAGAGGCCATGTACGAAATTATGTATAATAGGAGAGGCGCCTCTATTTTTTGGATATCATCACACATCGGCGATATGGTCATAAACATATCCCCATTCTGGAGAAGGGAAGTCTCTCTGCGTGGGATGATGATTAGAAGTCAATATGAATGAACATGAAACCATTTTGCTGACTTTGATATTGTGTTCTAAGCAATGCGCTTTAGCTTCATGGTCTGGGTCTCATGAGTCGGATCACTCCTGTAATTCAGAGTAGATGATATGGATACAAGACAACCCATCAGCACATCAACGCCCCAAGCTAAAGAAGGGAGTGCCAGAGCTTTGAATGTAGGATGGAATGCAAGTTGAAAGAATAGCTTTGGACTGAAAACATAATGACTGGACCAGAGTTTGCTTTTCTCACATGAAACAAAAAGAGGATAGTATGTACGGGAAGAGGAACGCCCATTCCACCCTCTCCTGTGGTTTCGTTTCTTTTCGTTTCCTTGACTTTTCTCATGGAGTCACGGGGGGGGTCATGTTGTCGAGAAGGGCTTCTCGCTGGTTGAGAGCCGGATTCCGCTTACGGAGCTTTCGAGGTTGGCGCGGAGCTGAAGTTGGAGATGGAGAGCGAGAGCGAGAAGAAGACATGGCTTTAAAGGGCCAGATCAGACGGAGGCGTCACCAGGCGTTGCGATCCCAGTTAGGGTCTGCGATTCTGTGTCAACCTAGACATCATGATGGCAAAGATAGACATGGCGGCAAACTCACCCTGGACAAAGGCAGCCAGGACCTTGCTCCCTGTCTGCAGCAGGGGATGACCGACGACGATCTTGAGGAACTTCTCGAGGCCTGCGCGACGACCTTCGATAACATCGTCGCTGAAGCGGTTGGTGAAGACCTTTCCGGGCAGAGGAGGAATAGTGACACGGGCGCTCTCGCGCTCGAGAATGTCGCGGAAGTACTCGAAGTCGGAGTATCGACGACGGACGCTGCTCTGACGGAGCTTGAAGGCGGGAATGTTTGTGCGGCAGAGGATCTCGTAGTCTGTGTACATGTGACGGCCCATGCCATGTGTTCTTGGGTTGCGGACCTATAATGGCGCTTTTTAGCATATCCTGCGTGTATTGCTTGTCCGTCTGGCGATGCATGGTCGCGGATATGGCGCATGAGGGACAAGGGAGCGCACCTCAATCTCTAAAAAGTTCTCGGGAGGACCGTAGATCTCGTCAAAGCTCTGCTGTCGCGTATCGGGCATGGATTGCAAGATTGGTCGGTGGAATTGTGAGCCGGGCGCATCGAGGCCGGAGTTGTCCTGATCGGACGCCATGGTTGGTGATGTTGTAGGGAGTTTAGTCGTTAAGGTATAGGTATTAAGAGCTAGAGATGTACGTTGCAGTCGATCATCGGCGCAAGGAAGAGGCTGAGGCTGGTGGTGACGTCGTGTAGAGTAGAGAGAGTCTGATGTTCACTCAATATCAGGCTGTCGCATGAGATGAATGAGTTCGGAGGTAGAAGTGGAAGATGGTGGAAAGAAAGTGGAGGTGGGGGAACTAGGTAGGTAGGACAGGGCGGGGTACTTGAGAAACTGGTGGAGGACCAGGGTAATCATAAGTACCTTTTTGTTGTTTCCTTGGTCAGTGATATGACCGTTCAAGAATATGTACGTTAACGGGTATCATCAACAAAGCCTGTTTCGGGTCACTCGGGCTCCGTTTTGTTGATTGATGATTTGTTTGTGTAACCATGAGCGCTACGACATTGCATCGTACAAGTCAAGACAGAAACGGAGATATCCAACCAATAGATAGATAAACTTGAGACCTAAATACAGTGGCTAATGTATTTCTGAGACAACATCGGTTCACTTGAGTACGGAAGAATTGATCATATTGTTTTACATTCAAGTAGTAGGGCTCTGAGTGGCTCGTCAAGAGCGTCAGATAGCACTCGAGCAACAGTCTAGAATGCTTCATTATATAATATCGATCCAAGCTGCGTTGACGCGGGACATCTTGACTTCTGATACAAGTATTTGCCCCCTCATGAGCATGGTCAACGGTCTATCTGTCTGTCTTGCGACATGACATGACATGGTTGAAGATGTACGTTTCCGATCATCTCCTGGCAGCCCATTCACCCAATTCTCAGCCAATCTACTACCTCGGACATTCTCGATTCGGCATCCCCAAAACTCTCGTGCAAGACTGAGCTGCATCAAACAAGTATAAGCCCATATGATTAACGAAACGCCATACGCCAGATGTGCCTCACCTTGGGGCCTCAACCTACAACGCCTACCGCGACATGTAGTTTTACACATGATCCGTGTACACGAGAACAGCATGCTCCCTTGAGAGGCTGGTCTGTTTCTCTTCGTCTTCTTCGTCTTCTTCTTCTTCTTCTTCTTCTTCTTCTTCTTCTTCTTCTTCTTCTTCTTCTTCTTCTTCTTCGTCGTCGTCTCTGATCGGGTACAATCTGCCCATCAACCGAGTTCCTCACTTCTTGTCAGCGAACTTTTGGTGAATAGCGCGGATCTGATCTTCGACGTTAACGTTCTGCATATGACCCAGCTGTGCTTGGCTCTTGGCATCCATGGCGCCATCGTAGCTGTGTATGGCAGCCTTCTTTCTGCGCGCTAGCTCATCCTCAGAAATGGCCTGTCCAGTGACAGGATCGAAAACGTCGCTGCGCTGGCTGGCAAGTCGCTTGAGGTTGTTGGCGACATCGACATGTATCGTGTTGGAGGATGCGTAGCGTGTGTCCGCCTTGGCCTTCTGTTCCTTCCAGCGAGGATCGAGAAGTTCAACTGAAACCAGGTTAGCATTCTGACTGAATAAAATGTTAGGATGGGGCACTCACTTCGCATGTGAGCTTCGAGCTCATTCATGGGAATCTGCTGTTTACAGTTAGGGCACAGTGCTGTCTGCGCGCCCTGTCTGTTGGCAGCCTTCTGTGCGGCACGAGGTACGTAGTTCTCCTTGATCTTCATCGGAGGAGCACCACCACGCGCTTCAGCAGTAGCCTGTTGTTTTCGTGCTTGTTGCTCCGCGCGTTCCTGGATACGGCGCTCCTCTTCTTCTTCTTGGGCTGATCGCTGCGGTTGCTGTGGTTGCGCTTGTGGAACAGGAGAGTATGGCTGAACAGGAGGGGGCATTTGAGCGGGTTGGTAGGCTGGCTGTTGAGGGGCGATGGGATAGGGGGCGGGTTGATTGGGGTATGCGTTGTAGGTCGTGTCTTCGTCAGGCATGGCTTCCTCAATTCTGAGGCTGGCACTGATAGACGCATTGTTGCGGTCCTCGAGCGAAGCGTACTGAAGATCGGACAGGTTGGTGGGAGGTGGGAGGTTGGCGTGCTCATCAGCCTCATTGAAAGTGATTGTCTCGACAACAACGAAATCGCCCCAATCGATCATTGCAAACTCTTCCTTAGCCTTGACCTCTTCCTCTTCCTTCTTCTGTTTTTCCGATTCGACGTATTTGGCATATTCGGCTCGTTGCTTGGCGCGGTTCAACACAAGGAACTTATCGTTTATGTTGGCTTCGAGCTCCTTTATGCGCTCTTCTTGAAGCTTGCCGCCTTCTCCACCGAGACCGCTTGCACGTAACAACGTTGTGTATTGGTCGATAATATGCTGGAAAAAGTTGTGAAGAGTGTGGTTAGGGATGAGGAAGCCGAATTGTGGGTTACCAGCTTCGCGCTGAGCCAACTGTGTCATAAACTGTCGTCCATTCTTGGCTACAAACAGAGCCGACAGTTGAATCACATCCAGATCCTTTCGGTTGATGCGAGGCGTTCGCGCAGAGAATAGGTAATCGGCAGGCTTCGGGGGTCCCTGAGGCTTGGGAGCCTCGGCCGCAGGCTCACCCACGCGACCAGCGGCAATCGCTGTACCACGTCCGCTCTTGACCTCATCTAGTCGCCATTGGTAGAAGGGATGGTAGGCATCGGAAGGGTTGAGAAAGCTGAATTTCGGGTTTGATCGTTCCTTTTCGCGAATGCGATCTTCGAAGACGCCGCCGTTTCGCGCCACATAACCCGCTGTCTTTTCAAGAACATTTCGAATCTCGCGAGGAGGGAGGACTACTCCAGCGGGAGGTTTGATATCGTCGAGAGTATTTGCGGCGGCATCGCCGTTGGTTGTTACGGCTGCCATTGTGAGGAGGACGCGCTGAGAAAGAGGAAAAGGGCTGATGGAGCTGCTAGTGGAAGGCAGGCGACTTTGGAAATTTCGAGGTGTTCTGGCGACGCGAAGCTTTGGTCGGCGAATTGTTGTTCCGGGTAGTTTCAGGTATCTACCTGCAATCACCTCGACTTTATTAACGACAGCTTTGTTTTGGCCTGCATGTAAGTCTTGTTCATGAGAATTAACGAAGTACTTTGGTTATTCGAGTAGCTCGAGTCTGTCAAAATTCACTGTTTGTTGTTAAATTGCAATGGTACTTCCAGGACATTGTACAAAACAGTCTCTGCCAATCCATTGCAGCAAGTTCTTCCTTTGAGCAGACATATACTTCTCTCAGTCGCTAAGCCTGATCAACAAATGCTCTATCCGGTATAAGCTGTTTGGTACTATACTTGAACAGTCAGTTAATGTACATGAGCTTCTGTGGCTTAGTTGATGGTCGAGATGCCGATACTAGGCCAATCTCTATCATGTTAATTGGTTATATCCTGAGTTACTTTGTACACCTTGATATAGGGTGTCATAATAAACACACTAAAAGGCATCTAAACTTATCCTAAGCTTATACCAGGTTATCAAGTTTTTTTTTATCACTTAGAGTTAAGGTGCTGAGTTTTCCTCCCTCCCCTAGGCACGATTCCAGAGTGTGGTAGACACTCGTTTCTGCAAGAAGGGTCTGAGGTTAATCTGTTTCTATCCGTGACAGGTTTCTCCCGTGATTAGATCCTCCAACGGCTAGCTACCTCGGTGGTTGTCTCAAACCTTGGAGGGCTACCGCTTTAGGCCATGGTTGAGATTGGATATGTGCCATCAACTTGAAATGCCCAATCTCTGGCTTATCGTGTTCCTTCGGATTACTTCCACAACTCCACGCACAATATCTGAATCTGGATTTGTACCCCGCAATACCCTAAATGACGTTTATCGTCTGCCACGGAGCTTTCGCCGTTTTCCCCGACCTACAACCCCAGGCTGGCATAGTATCTTTCAACACACCACCGGTATTCGGCATTCAAAACCGCGATCCAGAGTCCAGGCCTGTCAAGTCTATCAGGGGATCTTATCAATAGCCTCGTTGGAGACAAAGTCTGGTTAAATACCAGGGAGTTTCTTCCAGTGGGAAAAAGTAAAAACATCTGCAAAACCGGAGTAGGCTCTTGGTATAACGCTTCTCCGTCGTCGACACAGCTGTCGAATAAACCCCTCCTCTCCTTCATGAGATGAGATGCCGAGCCAATTCCTCAGCGCAGCTTTGAATCTCATATAAGTCATTTTCGATGGAGTTGACAGAATGGAGAAACTCTGCCCTCGAGGCGGCTTCTCAGTCTCTGTTTGACGAGAGCTCCATCCGGTCCGAAGATGCCAGTGTCCTATTAGTCCTACTCTCATTCTTTTCACCATGCGAGAAAATTCCCCTGGAACTATTTAAACGGGGGTCAACACCTCGAAAACGATGGACAATCGAGGGAGAAGTTGAGCTTGTTGATGCGACCAAAGTTGGCCTGGCCTCGTGGTTGGTCGACATACTAGCAGATGACCAACGACTTACACGAGCCTTTTGTGAACTATGTCAACTGGCAGCTGTTCTCAAGTATCCAGATGAGACATATCACTTGAATGAAGATATGTCAGCGAGAGTCCACCGAAGCCTTGCCCCAGATGCGCTCCCGTTCTGGCGACAACAGGCTTTGATTGTGGCATATAGAGCCATACCCTGGAAGTACATCGAGTTCCCGTGAGTCTGAAATCGATATCCAGCGAGCTTGAACCGCTGACACTACACAAGAGAACCCGTGGCTAAATCATTCTTACCGCATCTGCATCATGTTGCTGAGGCGTTCCACGACTGTTTTGATGAGCTGCCTACAGCCACCAGAACCGACTTCATGCTCACACTCATTGAAGCCTTCCGGTTTCCAGACATGGCATGGAAGTATTTCGCAATTGGTCAGGCAGAGTTGGCTGCTGGGCGCCTGAAAGATACACACCTCCGGCTCTGCATTGGCCAGACGAAAGCAGTCCTGGGACGTCTCAGTGGAAACATGGATGAGGCCACAGAAAGTCTTCAGGACTTCGGAATCAACGACCCGACGGCCGCTGTGAACAAGCGCATAAGCTGTGAGGTAGGAGTCGCTATTATCCAA